AAACCACCACCACCGAGTCCGATCGCTACGCTAAAGGGTCAGGAAATGTAGATTTGAAACTGTAAACCGCTTGTAACCGGCGGCCCCGCTTGTGGCGCCTACGCGATTTGCCTCCGTCCTTCCGTTCTCCGGGAGAAGAAAGCAGATATACTTCGAATTCCCCGCACCAGATCAAAGCTATTCAATCACAAGACTAACGTTATCCCATCGAAACCTTTAACATACCCTGCCATGTGGTTTTGTCTTAACGTAACGCGTCGCGCACAAGGATAAACTGCCATTCATTAATAAAGTTGATTCGCGGGCTAGGTCGAGAGATCTGTCAGCATTCAAATTGAACTCGAGTCCCCTCAAATCGACGGTAGCTGTGAAATATGCGATCAAGGTTTCGCGTAGCTGCCTGCCTGCCCCGCGTAGTATATCATCAAAAAATTGATACGAAGCGCGGATTCGAATGGTCTCGGGCGTAGGCATCATTAAGATCACTTCAGGGAGAAAGCCGTAGGAATTTCAAATGTAGACAGGTCTAGCTTTTGATAACAACGATTAACGAGTGAGAAAAACGGCTGAACGGCTATGAAAAGAGAAGTGCCTCCTCGGGCTGGAGATAATTCACCGTTGTGCCCTGCGGTACCGAAAACCTTAGATGAGCCTCGGAATGCTGCTTCAGATTTTAGCCCTGAAACCAGGGCTGTAAGGAAGGGACTGACAAAAATGTGGAGCGCGCCGGTGAAAAGGAAACCTAATTGCGAGTTTGAAAATGACAAGGCATTCACCGGATTAAGGACCGGACACGACATAGAAAAGACCGTGCCTTGCCGAGTTTTATCGGGGCGAGCTGGTGGATGCGTTGATGATGGGCAACTAGACCGGGTCGAAATGCCTATACGGGATGGTGTGTCCGTTGGTCCTGTGTATTGGCCGACAAGTCCGCTAAGAGCGAGTGAGCAAGTGCGCATGCAGCTGAGATGAAAAGCGCACCAATGTCATGCTGTATGCTGCTGCTCACACTGCGAAGACAGCGGAACGTCGGACCGTAACTGAAGAGTGTACGTATAGGCTATCATGGAAATGCGAAGGTGAACGTGAACGTTCGGCAAAATCTGTCTACCACAATGATCGACAGGAACTGGGAGGAGACATCCTCATGCTCTATTCTGTCGTACCGTACGCTGGTTTCCATGAGGTGGGTTACAGCGTCCGACGTCAGGCACAAAGGGCTCCTCGTTCTGTTGGTCATGGTGGGGATGAATGCAAAGCATACAACCCCGGTAGCTGGGCGCTTGTTTCGGTTGTTCTGACACTCCGTGAATACATATGCCGGAGACGGAACTGCCCAGACGCCTGGGTGTAATAGGGATAATATAACATTATAATTTCGTGACCCAAAAGATCTTGACAAGACTCTTGCGCATGCACTACCGGTTTTCTGAGCTTAACATGATTAATGCTGAACATCAGATAAGCAGTGACAGAAAACATACATTCAATTGTGAAGTAAAGGATCGACCGGTGTTGTAGCTGGTCTGCTTCTTGCAGCCTTGAAAGACCGAATGCAGACATCACAAACGTTTCGGTAACCATAATTCTCCGGCTTGTCAATGTCAGGACCACTCAAGTGATCAAGTCAGACACAAGAAAAAGTCCCGCAGAGGAAAACTGAATGATTTCCCTTCTCTGTATACAATGGACACACGAGAATTTCGTATCATGTGGCTGTAGAACTCTAAAGGGGGATGTATATTTGGACATCGGCAGATTCACCAAGACGAGGGGTATTGAAAAAATCCAATATCCGATGTTGTTGTTCAACGGCGGTCGTGTGAACGGCATGGAGGTCAATGTCAATGAACCCATTATGTAGCGGCGAATGCGTCGGGCTACGGAATGTCGGATAAATCCCCGTTTGGCGAAACAGGCCCAAAAGTCAAAATCAACGACATAGTCCTATAGGAGTTGACGAGACAAAGAGAACTTACAGAGACTACCAAAAAGAGTACATAGAAGTACCGGCGAATACAATGACGGAATCAGGCGCTTGTGCGGACGGTACACGTCAAGAACCATCGGACAATCCGATGTATTGAGTTCAGGGTTACGGATGTTGCTCCGCAGAGGGATTTAAACATGGAGATTGAGTCCGCCATTGAAAAGAAAGAACACAGTCCAGGAATGATGGCCGACGCTCGGAGGCAGTTGACGAATATAAGCAGCTCGAGATATATTCAGGAGAGGAATAACTGCATAGAGATAAAGATATCCGTGCCGGTGACACCCTTGCTGGAATGTAGAGTTGTTGAAAAAAGACCATTCAAAGGGAGCCATTAAATAGAATCGAATTCTATCAAACGCAGTAAAGTTTAAAGATGAAAAATATTCCACAGTTCCTGTTAGAGGGTGCGCGTGAAATTTTTGGCTTGCGGCTTCCAGGCTGTTGCAGTGAGCACTGATCGATGATCTTCTTTACGAGTCGAAACAGGTGGCGTCGAGGCGGGCCGTCACGGCATGACGTGACGTCGTGAAGCTGTGACGGGCTGTGCAATGACGTCACTCATCGATCGGCTTGACTCCAGTCTGGATTTTCTTGTCCTTCTACTCTCATCATCCGTTGAATCCGTAGCAATGCCCTCTATAACCGACTTACCCGTAGAGCTCTTCTTGGATAATTTACTGCCATTACTCCCAACGAGCGATCTCGCCCATTTGGCTGCAACCTGCAAGGTACTTGACCCGCCCAGGCTATACATTTCGCTTAAGTCGTGACTGTTGGGCTTTGTTCTAGTTCTTTGCTTTGCTTGCATCCGACAGTACCTTTTGGAAACTCAAATGTCAATCCGACTTCAATTTTTCTGGGGCTGGAACTGCTCGAACCAGTGGCTGGAAGTTTATTTATTCACGTCTGCAAAAACCACGCGGTACGCTTCACGACATTGTTGTCAAGTATATTGTGACACACCCATCATGCAATAGTTTTCGTTTGGGGGTCAGTATTTCTATAAACTGCAATATTCATTTTATATATCCGACTGATGGTTGAGCGCAGAGCGCAATCTCATGGGAGACTCGGGTTGTCAACACTGCCTAAAACTTCGCTTCGTGATGTACCTTTTCCGACTGAGCTGAAAATACCTGGTGCCCGTATCGTCAGTCTTGTCGCAGCGGGAATGTAAGGGTCCTCCACTTCGTTTATCCATTTCAGGACCGTGACTCTTCGCCCATCCAACAATAGGTCGTTTCACGCCTTGGATTCCAAGGGAAACATTTTTGTTTGGGGTCGGTTGAATGCTTTTCATATAAGTGTGTAGACTCAATGTTTACTCCCAGGCACTCTTGACGGACAACAGCGTGCTCTGACTAGTGACGGTTTTTCTGAGGCAGGCAAGAAAGCAGAACACCCACTGAGACTGCATTTACCAGTTTCGATGCGCAGCATCAGGTCAGTCACGCGTTTTCTTTGCGCGCCAATGTTGACACGCATAAGCTGCGGGAGATTGCATGCGGCGTCTCTGGACTCTCAAGGCTACGTTTGGAACTTCATCAATTGGGGCCGACCATTCCGGTTGACATCTTCCCGTCTCAAGGCGTCCGATTGCCACCCAATTCAGGTTGAATGTGGGTGGAATTTTTCTTCTGCTTTGACGAACACTGGCGACATTCTTGTTTGGTGGCCTTTTTCTGGCTTCATGGAAAGCCACATTGAAGAGAGGAATTCGGTGATGAACGACGCCGGAGATAAGCAAGGCCTTGTATCAAGTGATGGTGTTATTGCATGCGTACCTTGGGATCTTGATATGGATCCCGTCGCTTTGCCTTTGTTACCTCCTCTTCCCGTCTTGAATACTTCCCCGGACAACAACATCGACGAACCCATCAGAGTCATTCAAATAGCATCGTATGACGATCATATGATTGCTCTTACGACGAAAGGCCATGTCCTCAAATTTGGCTCCCTAGAAAACGAAACGACCATAGTTCGTGGCCGATGGGAATATGTAGCTCCTTACTATATACCGCTGGTACTCGTTAATCCTTTCCCTTTGTTTAGCTACCAAGGTATAGCGAAGTTGAAAGAATCCGACAACATGAGACGTTTACTTCGGCCGGTGGTTCAGTAGAGCCTCCAGTGACAATGAAAATCACACATGTCAGTGTCTGTTTCATCCTTGGTGCTAAGATAACTCAAAATTTCGAAGATATCTGCCCACTTCGAGCGCTTCATCGCATATTCCAGTGGTTCTAGCTCGATTGTTCTTATGGGAGACATTAACACTACGCCCGATTCCGAGCCAAAAATCATCCCTGCGCTTCAGAACAAATCGGTCATATCCGTTGTACTCGGAGACTATCATCAAGCGGCAGTGACGGCGGCCGGCAAACTGTCAAGCTGGGGTGCATACTCCGATGGAGCTCTCGGACTAGGGGACCCTTGCCAGCTCGAGGCTGGTTGTCCCGGTGCATTCCAGACTGAAAATGAACGGCTTATGGCTCTAGACCGAGGCAGAGGCCGTCCTGCTGCTGTCCAAGTTCCCACTCAAGTACGGTTTGACCATGACAGGAAGAAACCAAAGGACAGGTTCTGCCTTTCAGCCGCAGCATCTGGATGGCATTCTGGGGCCCTGGTCATTGACCTTGAGGTATGGCTACCGAGTCATGGAGACGTTAGCGATGCTTATGAATACTTTACAACAGGAGAATGCGGATGACGAGGACAGTGATATTGAGCAAGATAAACCCCTAAGGCAGCCTCCGGCGCCGGCGCGCCACCACTCTACACCACCGATCATACCTCGAGATCCTGGTGATCCCTTTATCGCTCGTGGCAATCCTTTCTTCAGGATCGGTTTTGCGGGTAGAGGAATGAATCGGGGGGGATCAGGTCGTGGACGGGGAGGTTCTTGAGTTTGTGTAGGCTATGTATAATTTTCAGAATGTAATTTTAGTGTAATCAGAAGAGTCGTCGGATTCGAGAACCTATAGGCTCCGGCAGCATCATGACCATTGGCCTGATGGTCTAGTAGTATGATTCCTTGTTAGGGCGTTGTGACTGCCATCGAGGAGGTCCCGGGTTCAATTCCCGGTCAGGCCCTGAAGATATCTTTTGCACCAAACCGTCACCCAACCTTAACTTTTAAGACTCCTCACGCCCCCACGAGTCAACTAATCACGACTCACGGTCGTAGTAACGCCAACTCTGTAGTACTTGTACACTGTCAACCGTATTCAAGTTTCAAGAGTCAAGACTCGTCACTTCCCCTACACATCTTATAGTTCACTGAGTACTCTGAGTCACCAGTCCGACCCACTCAGAATTAGAACATGTTGTAGAACGTTTATTTGAATCGTGTCAAGATATTCCTCAACGGTAACGGCATGCGACTCTTCATTTCCCCCTGGCTCCCACGTCTTATCGAATTCTCATCTATCGTCGTCTTCGATGGATTCTCTGCCGGGGATAGCGATGCCCTCGATTTTGCCTTGTTTTCCTTACCACTGACAGCACCTCCTTGAATCGCATTGACCGCTGCACGACCAAAAGAATAACGGCCAAGGGGTGAAGTGTGAGAAGGTCTTGACTTCGGGGGTGCTTCCGGAGTTGCTGTTATCGTAGTTGGCGAGCACGGGCGCTTCTCGGTCGTTGTTCTTGTAGGGGAAGATACTACAGGTTGACTATGTCTGGTCCTCGTCTTCGTTGGGGAGCGGAGAGATGATGGACGTCTCTCGACGGGCGGCGTCGACATCGCGCGAGGAGGAGAGGACATGATTGTAGAACGAATAATAGTCCCGGGCTTCTGACGTCCTGCTGCACGTAAAAACGTGGGTTGATGATTGCTAGATGGGATATCCTGCGGGGGTATGATTTTGCTTGTGGGAGCATAGATCATACGACGCTTTGTTGTTCGGTGGGCAAGTGGTGTGGACGGACCGGTTGAATGACGAGGGCGTGGCGCAGCATCGCTTTGCACTTGAATCTCGGGTTCCTGGTTCGAGGATGCAAACCTGACGCTTTTGCATCGCTTTAATATTCCGCGTGGGAGGTTGGCACCTGTAGGAGCTGGACAAGAAGGAAGAGGTGACGAAGGAGGAAGGTAGTTCGAAGCGACAAGCGGAACCCCAGACGGGACTCCATAACACTCGAGGTGATTATGATCGAGGGACTTAACCATAGCACTATTGTTGCCGACCAGTGTCTCATCTAGCAGCACAGTCTGATCGCCTGCGGCGAGTACGAAGGAATCATCTTGTGATGGAGAAGCCGCCGTGTCACAATAATTCGAGGAAAGCGAAAAGAAAGGCTGCTTCAATGCGTTTGCAAAAGCCCATTCATCATCGAGGGGCTTATCGGCCCGTATGCTGTTGAAGTCATCGTCCAACGGAGTCTTGACCTGGAGGGAGGCACATCGTGACCGCAGACTTCCAACCATGTCCTGGAGGTTCATGGACTCGTTGGCGACACTAGCAGGATCGAAGTGAGAAGCGTATGAGGGCGTTCCCAAAAAGGCGGTAGGAATGTCAGGGTATACAATGTCTTTCATTTTGCTGTCGTTTAAAGAGAGCGGGGGGAGCGATTTCTGCCGCCGAATCGCTATAGAAGAGGGCGCGTCAGCTTTAGAGTTGATAGTTGCGAAAGAATCGAGAGATATAGGTATGGCGAAATGAGAATTAGAGACCATTAGAGATGGAGGTGGAGGAGGTTCATTGACAGCGTCCTCCTCAGGGCAAGAAGGATCAGAGAAATACTTGTTCAAGTCGCGCAGTTGCAGCATCATGTCGACCACGTCGGGCTTCATGGTGTTGGCAGGAATCTGAACGGACCAGCGTTTCGTCTCGCCTTCTGTTCTAAGAGTGATTTCGCGTTCAAACACTAGGGCATCGCGATGGTACGTAGATTTGCGAGTAGAAGTTCGCGTAGACGTCCGAGGAGCTGGAGTACTGGGCTCACAAATGCGACGCTTGATCTGAAGAGATTCCTTGAACTCTTCGGGTGGGTACATCGAGCCTTCTGGTTTCCATGCTTGCGCATCTGCACATTCTGGATCCCCCCAGGGTGTGTGACCGGGTGCAATAGTATCAGAAGAAAGATTTTCCTGAAAACCTCATCAATTGATGTGGAATATCAGGGTAGATCGAACGTACCGCCCACTTCTTGATGCATAGGTTTTCTTTCAACATCGTACGAAGCCTAGGAGGGGTAGGAACAGTAATGGTCGCGTTGTGCTCGCCCGCCTTGACGGAGACGCTGAGAATCGTAGACATAGGTATCATGCATCCAGGAGGGAACGGCGGGATATTAGATTCTGAAGATATTGTTGATAATGAGTCCATGGAAAGCGACTCCAGGAGAAGACTAGTAGCGTGTACGTCGACAAAGGATTTCTCCAAGTCAATTAGAGGGCTAGAGGACGTGCTTTGAAGAACCTTGTCGTCGATAGAGGTGGCCATTGTGGTGTTGGACGGAGTCCGAATCCAAGTTGGATATCGAGACGTCGTTGAAGCTTTATCTTTGTTTGTTCTAGTGGGCACTTGATGACACTGGGGATCGACTTAAATGTCAATGATCGGATCGCGCGTCCAGTCGTAAATAAAGCCGGAGAGTCTTCGCACATCATATCGTAAGTTAATTCCACAGTTGACGTATTGGGTCTATTTCATCAAGATCCCCGAGAAGTGGTGCTTCTCCGCGAAAATGATTGCAAAAAATTGAAGTGGTAGGATTCGGAGCCATGACAAATTGAAGGCGGGACCGATAGTACGACCTCAATGAGCTGGCCCTGCCTCGGTTCGCTGGTCCAAAAATACATGCTGAAACATGTATCAAAATGACCTTCGGGTATCGTTAATAATCCATAAGATAGCCGATGATGAATTTATAGCGCTCGCATGGACGCAACTCCCGGCAAAGACATCTGACCAACATCGGGCTCAATGAAGAGGGCTTGAAAGAAGTCGGAGCATATCAACTTGAGTCGTCGGATATGATTTTTACCAAAGGAAAAGATATCCATCTTTTCAACTTGCCGTCTAATTTGTCTCCGTGATGTGCGGGGCGTTCCGAACCAAGCAGTCCATGACGGTGGTCCCATAGGGCAGTAATAACCCATAAATAAGTAGTGCATAACTAAAATGATACTCTCTAAGGATAAGTCTCGCAGATCATCGCATACGGGGATACTATAGTCTGAAGGACTCGTCAGCGCCTATCTCCGACCGGTTCTGGTATGTAGGACAATAAGCCTGATCTCAAATGATGCGTCTGGATTCTGTCGACAGACAACTTTTTGGACAGCTGCTTTTCTCCCCGGAATTGACCCAATGACAAGGAAAGGATAAGCATGTGAGCAGAGCCAAGGTCAAAGCGACGAATTTAAATTCCATCGGAGTGACGGAGTTTGGAAAAATCAAAGTCTAGGCATGATCAAGCCATCACACACAAGAGTTGGTCCTGCCAAGGTCTTGCAATTCCCTGGTGGTACTTACTTGAAAGCATACGGTACAGCGAGAGATAAGGATTATTGCACTGCGATTTTACGACATGAAGCAGCATGGCACTCGGTATTTTCTTGGGTCTTTCACGGCTGAACTTTCACTCGAGGCTTCGTTGCAGCAAATGGCTAGAAATCATATGGCTCTGCGAATTGACGTTTCTCTCTGTCGTACCTTCAAATGCCATAAGGAGCCTTGTCTGTGTCTTCACTGCGCGTGCATCCTTTGCGAGTATCTTGGCTTGGCGCTATTAGCTGTCTCTGTAAGATGATACTTAGCTGTCGGTGCATGCCGCTGCATGATGTCTTTGTAGCTACACATGGCTACGATTAACGCGTATAAATTCAAAGCAGTTGCCACCAGTGCATGTCATCTGCTCTGTTGATTCTACTTCTCTGTCGTATTTATAATGCGGTTGCAATTCGCAGTTTTTGCTGCCCTCTTGGTAGCTTTAGCCTTGGTTCATTCGGCGCCTATTACTCCCGACGAGATCGCAGCGAAATCTTCCCAAGGATATCGCCTTCTCAGTATCGTGGATGGTGAAGACCCTGTATGGAAGACCGAAGATGAGAAGTTGCAGCTCATGCGCGAAGAGGTGCAATTCGTATGTTCGCTGGCTTATTGCAGAAGACCTTTTCTTGAGCCATCATATCTTCTTTTCAGTTCGATGTGACCGATGTTTACGAGCTCGAGCAAAAGCTGGCCACCAAGGAGAAGAAGGTTTCGGTGGGTAAAGCCGCTTGTGAGTCTGGTATCTATTTTTGCTTTTTTGCTAGATATTGATTACGAACACCAACACCAACAAGTTCCCACTCCGTCGAAACAGTCAGAGATAAAACCCATTCTGAATACGATCTCCACCTCCAACATGAAGAACTATCTCGCGAATTTGACTTCTTTCAACAACCGATACTACGCGTCGAGCACGGGGTTACAGGCAAGCAACTGGATTCTAGATACCGTTTCTGATGTGAGGCCATTCGCTGGTACAATAAAAGCAACTTTCTATTGATGGAATACCCTAGATTGCCGACGACCGCGGCGACGTTACCGTGTCGAAGTTTTCACATCGGTTCCAGCAATTTAGCATTGTTGCCAAGATCCCCGGCTCTGAGGCTTCGACCCCGGTCACTATCCTAGGGTCGCACATGGACTCAATTAACCTTAACAGTCCCTCTTCCGGTCGCGCACCCGGCGCTGATGACGATGGAACTGGTTCCGTCAATCTCATCGAGGCATTCCGGGCCCTTATTTCTGCCGATTTCAAACCATTGACCCCAGTTGAATTTCACTGGTACGCAGCTGAGGAAGTCGGACTTCTTGGGTCGCAAGATATCGCCGATAGTTATGCCGATGACAACATTGATGTTCTCGCATTCATGGAATTGGATATGTCGGGCTAGTAAGTGGAACCGGCGGTATTGAATTCCCATCAGTGAATCTCATATGATATACATTGATCTTAGTTTTAAGCCCGGGACTAAAGAAGTCATGGCTCTTCAGGCCGATTACATCGATGATGATTTGAATGACTTTCTGGGGAAAATAATTGACACCTACGCGTCTATCCCATGGACGATGGATATTGCCGTTCGTCGAATTCCT